TGATATCTCATGGTGATACTGATTTAACTTACCTGATGGTTAGTGATACTGAGAATCTTTTCACACACCTGTTGGTTATCTGTATGTCTTTAGAAAAATGTCTGTTCAGTCCTTCAGCCCATCTTTTTTTTTTAAATTAATTTCTTTGACAGAGAGAGAGAGAGATCACAAGTAGACAGAGAGGCAGGTAGGGAGAGAGGAGGGAAGCAGGCTCCCCGCTGAGCAGAGAGCCTGACGCGGGGCTCGAGCCCAAGACCCTGGGATCATGACCTGAGCTGAAGGCAGAGGGTTTAACCTGCTGAGCCACCCAGGCGCCCCTCAGCCCATCTTTTAATCATGTTGGTTGTTTTGCTATTCAGTTGTGTGAGTTTATGTATTAAATGTTATTCGCTTCTCAGATATATGATTTGCAAATATTTTCTCTTATTCAATAAGTTGCCTTTTCATTTTCTTGATGGTTTCCTTTGCTGTGGAGAGCTTTTTAGTTTGATGGAGTCCCACTTGTTTATTTTTTTCTTTTATGGTATTTGTTTCTGATGTCAGATCTTAAAAGTCATTGCCACGACCAGTGTCAAGAAGCACACTGCCTATGTTTTCTTCTAGAAATTTTATGGTTTCAGGTTCTATGTTCAAGTCTTTAATCAATTTTGAGTTGAATTTTGTGTACAGAGTAAGATAGAGGTCCATTTCCATTCTTTTGCATGTGGCTGTCCTGTTTTTCCAATACTTTATTGAAAACACTGTTTTTTTCATGATAAATTTTTGGCTCCTTTGTCATAAATTACTGGCCATATATGCATGGGTTTATTTCTGGACTCTGTTCTTTTCCGTTCATCCATATGTCTGTTTTTATCCCAATAGCATACTGTGTTGATTACTATAGTTTCATAATACAGTTTGAAATCAGGGAGCATGATGCTTCCATCTTTGTTCTTTCTCAGGATGCTTTGGCTATATGTTTTTTTGTGATTCCATGCAAATGTTATTTGCATGCTGTTCCAAGCTGTTCTATTTCTGTGAAAAATGGCATTGGAATTTTGATGGGGATTGCATTACATCTACAGATTGCTTTGGTAAGGCTTAGCATTTGGAAAACACAAAGGATGGTAGAAACTCAGTGGTCAGAGATGCTTCATTTAATATCCCTAATTTTTTAGTTTAGTTAAAAACTGCTAATATTAACATTATTAATAGGGATAGGTTTAAAAGAGGCATTAAAAAGAACATTATACAACTGGGCTCCTTTGTGAGATGATCAGGCTATGGATCCCAAATGATAGCATAACTATTACCAGGGTATAGAATTTTGACTTAAAAAAATGCTTGAGGTGTGCCTCACTGGCTCAGTCAGTGGAGTATGTAACTCTTGATCTTAGGGCTGTGAGTTCAAGCCCCACAATGGGTGTATTTTTACCTAAAAATAAAATCTTAAAAAAAATAATGCTTGAGAGTAAAATTACCTGAGCTATCTATAATGTTAGTGTCCATGACCTTCAGGTCACCAGAAACAAACAAGGAGAGCATCACTTGAATTTCACTATTAAGACACATAAAACCATGAAAGAGAAAATTCACACTTCAGTGGGAACATTTTCAGTCTGATGCCATGATTTTATGAATTAGGATGAGTTGTGGAAGACAAAAAAACAAATGTGCCTGGCTGGCTTAGGCGGAGGAGCGTGGGGCTCTTGATCTCAGGGTTGTGAGTCTGAGCCCCACTTTGGGTGTAGATTATTTAAAAATAAAAAATAAAATCCTTTTTTTTTTTTAAAAAGATTTTATTTATTTGACAGAGATCACAACTAGGCAGAGAGGCAGGCAGAGAGAGAGGAGGAAGCAGGCTCTCTGTTGAGCAGAGAGCCCGATGCGGGGCTCGATTCCGGGACCCCGGGATCATGACCCAAGCAGAAGGCAGAGGCTCTAACCCACTGAGCCACCCAGGCGCCCCTAAAAATAAAATCTTTTTTTTTTTTTTAAAGATTTTATTTATTTATTTGATAGACAGAGATCACAAGTAGGCAGAGAGGCAGGAAGAGAGAGAGAGAGGAGGAAGCAGGCTCCCCGCTGAGCAGAGAGCCCGATGTGGGGCTTGATCCCAGGACCCTGGGACCATGACCCGAGCCGAAGGCAGAGGCTTTAACCTACCGAGCCACCCAGGCGCCCCTAAAAATAAAATCTTAAAGGAAAATACATCTGTGATGTTTTCAAAGAATTGCATAAATGAATACCTGGGAAATGCCTTGGAGTGTTGTAGAGTCTACATAGTAAAGTATCTTAAGTATTCACAAAGCTTGAGAGATCAATAATAATTGAATTTTTAGTTTATGTGAAGTTGCTGGTTTCCGCTCATCCAAATAGTATATATTTCATCACACATGAAAATATTAGGATGCACAGAAGTAGAAATACAACCAGTTAATCTCTTTTTAAGTTGTTGTTTTTTTCTGAAAGGTAATGCTAAAGTTTTAAAACGCAAGGTATATGGTGGACATTTGCTGTTATTGGGACCACTCAACGTCTGGAACTCTTTTCTACTTTAGAATTCCCTACATTTCTTTTTTAAAAGATTTTATTTATTTATTTGACAGACAGAGATCACAACTAGGCAGAGAGGCAGGCAGAGAGAAAGGAGGAAGCAGGCTCCCCGCCAAGCAGAGAGCCCAAGGCGGGGCTCGATCCCAGGACCCTAGGATCATGATCTGAGCCGAAGGCAGAGTGTAACCCACTGAGCCTGGCACCCCATAGAATTCCCTACATTTTTAATCTCGGTGGTAGAGGCTGAAAAATCCCAGATGTTTGCTCCCCCATGCTTCCTTGGATTTAATAAGCAGGCCTATGACCTGCATAGTGGACAGGCATGTGGACATCATCATTCAGATCCATCTGTAGCAGATTTAGATTTAGGAGCTACTAACGAAAAAGAAAACAAAACAAAAGCAAAGCAAAAACAAAACAAAACAAATAACAGCATACCCAGAGCAAAAAGTCACTCTATTTAAAAATAATGATGTGTTTTCTCTCTCTTTGGGAAAAAACTGTAGTGGATGTTGGAACAACTAAAGAAGGCACTCATGGTACAGAACTAGGGGCCATGTTATTGGGCAGGGTGGGCACAATAATAAGATCTCATTCTCTCCTGAGAGCCATCTAATGTTTCTGATCAACTTCTCTGATTAAAAAAAGGTAGTAACTGCTCATTGTACCAAATTTGGAGAAGATAGGCAATGTCAGTGTGTGTGTCCTTCCGTATGTACATATATATGTGTATAGACATATATGTAGGAATTTCTTCAGAAATTATGATCATACCATATAGTTTTGTGCCTCACTTTTTAATGGTGTATTTGATGCCATTCTTAGACAATGCTTTGACAGTTCTCCATAGTTCTATGATTTAATTGTTCTGCCACTGAATGCTTAAAATCTGTAATATTTTGCAGTCATAATTTCTCAAAGAATATTCTTGCGTATAAGTCTTAGATTAGATCTCTGCCTATTGCTTCAGGATAAATTCCTAGAGATATTACCAATTCCTGAAATTCAGACCTTTAATTTTTTTTTGGTAAGTGTAGTCTGTAATCCTCATCACCTATGTCACCCACCCCCCCCACCTACCTCCCCTCCGGTAGTCATCAGTTTGTTCTCAGGGGCTGAGTCTTTTTCTTGGTGTCTCTGTTTTATTTTTTCCCTGTGTTCTTTTATTTCTTAAATTCCTTATATGAGTGAAATCATGTGGTTTTGTTTCTCTGACAGACTTATTTCACTTAGCTCCATCCATGTGATTGCAAATGGCAAGATTTCATTCTTCTTTATGGCCGAATAATATTCCATTGTTATGTATACACACAGTGATATATATGTATTATTCTCTCATATATCACTGTCTCTCTGTATCTATCACTTCTTCATCTTTCAATGGGCACTTGGGATGCTGCCATAATTTGGCTATTGTAAATAATGTTGCTACAAACAGGAGTGCATGTATCCCTTTGAAATAAGTGGTTTTGTATCCACTGTGGGTAAATATGTAGTAGTGTGATTCCTGAATCATAGGGTAGTTGTATTTTTAACTTTCTGAGGAGCGCCATACTGTTTTCCAGAGTGACTGCACCAGTTTGCATTCCCACCAACAGTGCAGGAGGGTTCTTTTTCCTCCACTTCCTCACCAACACCTGTTGTTTCTTGTTTCTTATTTTAGCCATTCTGACAGTTGTGAGGTGACGGCTCATTGTACTTTTCTTTGCATTTCCCTGACGGTCAGTGATGTTGAACACCTTTTCATGTGTCTGTTGGCTATCTGGATGTCTTCTTTTGGGGGGTATAAGTTCTTTATATTTTTTAGGTACTATTTATTGGATGTGTTATTTGCAAATATCTTCTATTCTGAAGGTTGCCTTTCAGTTTTGTTTTCTTTACTGTGAAATTTAAACCTTTTAATACATTGGGTATTTAATATATTGGGTATACAAGGCTTTTCATACACTGTAAAATTTCTCTGTATAGGTGTAGGTAATTTACCCATTCTTGAATTCCTAATGGGTTTGGACTATACTGACTTAGAACTTTTATGAAACTGGAATGTCAGACATGAGAACATTTTGAAAAATAATGAATATGGCCCTTGTTATGAGAGTATACTATTGGCATGACACTGATGGGCTCTAGAGATATCATCACATTTGATCCTCTCAGTGACACTTTTTGTTGGTACTTTTAGTCACATACATAAAACGGGAAAATGGCCAAAGATCTCCAGGTCACACAACTTATAAAACATAAACCCAAGAATAAAGCATTATTTTTATGATTTAAAAGCTCATTTTCTTTCCCCTGTATCTCTGCCACCCCAGAATTTAAATTATTTTTAAGTTTTGAAATGGATACTTGGGAAGAGAAAAGTATGGGTGAGTTGGAAGCAGTAGAGAGGAGGGGAGAGGCAGTTAAAAAGGCCACGTTGTCTTAGTTAAATGAGTTTACAAACTGACAGAACACAGTGTTAGCAGGGCATTTTAGCCAATGAGTATTTATTAAAAGCCGGGGGGGGGGGTGGGTGCACCAGGCACAGTTCTTGTCCAACAGGCTAACAAATATAAAGTAACCAATTCATTTATTAGCTTATCTGATTAAACAAAGTACATTTCATAGAAATGATTATAAAATGCATTGCCAATAGAAACAGAATATCATTTATATTACAGATCTTATGGTACCTAAATAATTATTAATAAAAACCAGCCAACCCATATGGTAAATAGAAGTTAGGAAACCACCAGTTACTTCTGGTCAGCAAGAGAGAGAAGCATTCATTTGTCACGCTGGGAGGGGTTTCAGCATTCCATGTAGGCAGCCTGTTTCAAAACTAACATCATCCACCTATAAACTTAAAACTTCAGGGTTTTTCATCCAGTATCAAATCATATTGTACTTTTTGGTTTAAAGATTAGTTTTGGTTTTGAGTAAGTTTAATTTAGTACTTTAGTTGCATGTGGTCATAGATTCTTGATCTGGGCCGGGTGATGATCAGTCCAATTAAGTATTAGTTACAGGAACAAAGCACAACGCAAACGGGTACTTTTAATCTGCTTTGTGATATTCTTGTCCGTACTGAATTGAGAAGATACGCAGGATGATTTAAAGCAGAACAGAACAGCAGAAGGGCGGAAAAGAAAAAAAAATGCTGGTGTTCTTTGAGGCAAATCTGTTTTGGAGAACCAGGGCTCATTCTTGAAAGGACCGTATCAGGTTTTTGGCACATGATCTCTCCCTTCGTTTGAAGGCTGGTTCAGAGGGGTGTAAAGGAGAGAAAAGGAGCACAGAAAGGACTAAAAAGGCACAGAGTGGAGTGTGTTTGCTGATACAGTCACGAGAACCGTGGCACCAAAATCACCCAAGAGTGTCCACCAGGCCCTTCCAGAGACCTCCAGACATGGGTCTGTTTTGTTCGGGCAGCAGCACTGAAAACTCCCTTAGACAGGGTCAATGTTTATTGCACAGGAACCAGAATTATTCCCCCTTCCCCCCTTCCTGAGCTGGAGACCTCCAAGTGCAAACATGGCTGGGGATGTAGGTCCGCCAGCTCCTCTGGCCAGCAGGGAGCGCTCCACCAAAATGCCTCAGGGAGCACCTTCTCCAAAGGGACGCGTGAGCGAGGTATCATGTCGGCCTGAACGGTTGACCCAGTCTGTCAGTCACCATTCTCAAGCAGCTTCTGGAGGTTGTTTTGTATCTGGAGATAACAAGAGAGAAGTTCCTGTTCCTAAATAGAATGGCTTCTACCAAGAGCCCATTTGCCATGATCTGGATAATGTCTGAGATTAATCTATTCTACATTGAATAAAAAGCGGCCCCCACATTCAGTTGAGATCAGGCAAATGCTGCTTAATGGAAATAAACTGTTGATAATCCACTTTAAGATGAAAAAAAAAGGGGGGGGGCTAAAAACGAAGAGTGGCACAAAGATGCAAATGTTAGGAGAGACCAAAAGAAATCAGATGGAAGGAAAAGAACAAAAAGCCTTCATAGCACCAAGTGTGACCTAAATACAGATAATGGGAAACTGAGACTAATGGAGCATGTGTGTCCTGTGGTGTCTGACTCAAACCATCAAAGTTGAACACTCCTACGAGATATTACCCATTTCCCAGAAGACTGAGTTTCACAGGCCCAGGTCTGTGACATATCTTTAGATCTCGAGACCACAGGACAGTGTTGGGCATTAGAAACATGCTCAGTAGATATTTGCTGAGTAAGTGAACTTTCAAGAATTCTGAGCAAGGAATTCTCAACAAGCAATATGGGGATGGGAGTGGGGAACCCCATGGAAGAAAAGAAAAGATACACACACACATATGTGTGTGTGTGTATAAAATGGAATATATATATATATATATGTATATATACATATATATATATATAAATTTTTTTTTTTTTTTTTTTTTTGGAGAGAGTGAGTACAAGCACAAGGTGGGAGAGGGGGAGAGGGAGAGAGAAACTCAAGCAGACTCCCCACTGAGCCGGATACGGGGCTCCATCAAGCCTCCTTGAGATCATGACCTGAGCTGAAAACAAGAGTCAGATGCTCCACTGACTGAGCCACCCAGGCGCCCCAGATAATATCTATTTCTTTTTTTTTTAAATTTATTTATTTGACAGAGATCACAAGTAGGCAGAGAGAGAGAGGGGAGGAAGCAGGCTCCCCACTGAGCAGAGAGCCCGATTCGGGGCTCGATCCCAGGACCCTGAGATCATGACCCGAGCCAAAGGCAGAGGCTTTAACCCATTGAGCCACCCAGGTGCCCCTATCTATTTCTATAGACCAGTCTGTGATGTCCTGCAGGCACCCAGGGTTGGTGAGGAGCAAAGCATCTAGGACGTCTGTGCCGGGAACTTCACAGGTGCTCCCCTCACTGCCCTCCGCCACCACACACAGGTTTCACACACGGAACTGGGAGATCAGCCACATTCTCAGTGGCAGACGAAGGGTGAAAACAGAGGTCTGCTGCTTCTGCTCCGCCATGAATGCCATTTGCGGCTCTCAGACAATAAGTTTACTTATTTATCTCATGACCTGTAAAAGGCATTGCCTTCGTCCCCACCCTGTTATTCTGTCCTGTCTTTCCTACCTACTCCACAGGACCAGAGGTAAACAGAAAAGCAGGTGTGCGAAGGAAGAAACAGAGAGGACATAAAGTCCTGATAACCAAAATATCTAAAACACACCTCCAAAGAGAGAAACCTGGAAGTAAAAGCTGGGGGGGGGCAGCTGTGAGTGCACCTCAAGTCTGCGCCCCCCGCTGTGGACGACCTCTACAGAGCGGGGTGGACCCGTGAGCCAGAGCAGGACTGTTCATGCCCAGAGTCCTTTGAGCCGTGTGGGCAACTTACAACTTTTAGAACTTCCACATCAGCACTGGGGCCCTAACCCCACTTATTTTACTACTGCTGCTTCGGGACCAAGGTTTCTGGTGGGAGTGCAGGCCTCTGAGCCGAGGAGCTGGGCTCTAGAAGAAGTTGAGGCGGAAGGCAGGAGACGCAGCCATCTGTCTGCCCCTGTGGATAGGTTCTGTCCCTCATTACAGCGTGGGGTGCCCTAGCTGGACCTGGCACCAGAGCGGGAGGGAGTGCAAAAGGGGATGGGCAGGAATTTGGGTGCTTCTGGCCCCAAAATGCCCTTGCGTACCAGTGTGAGCAACTGGATGGAGAATGATGACCAACCTGTTCTCCAGGCCAGCGTGGAAACCCGATGTCTGTAAGCATGGCAGGACACTTATAAAAAACATCTCTTCAACTCTCAGCAACTCACATTTTAGAAAAGAAAACTCTTTGGGTGGCTACACCCGACTTTCTCTAGGATGATTTTGGATTAAGAAGAGGAAAAGTTTCCAAGTTTGTCCATAGATTCAGTAGGAATTCTAGGTCATCCTTTGGTTTCAAGCAGAACTTTGGAAACTCCTTGGCTCTCAATCCTTCAGTAACTGAGTGCTAACCACCATTTAGTCTAGCAAAACTAACATCATTTGGCTCATTTGTATTTCACATTTCTTACCAGGTAAACATGACTGCACTGTTAGGGAGCGCTACGCTGGGCATTTGTGGTAACAGTCTAAACTGAACCCCTGTACCTGAAACCCTTCCTTAAGGTTTAGGGCAGAAACAAACCACCAGATGGACGAGAGGGACATACCGGAAGGAGAGGTGAAGAAATGTTAGTTAGGTTTAATTCTGGGCCGGTTCTCCTGTGCCAATCTTCCTGTCCGCCCTCCTCCTGGCTTTGAAGAATGACACAGGTTTTAGGACAGATCTGTTCAAAAACTGCCCTACGGTTAGAAACTTCTAGAGGGTAAAGGTACATCAGTGGTTTACTGGCAAGGCCTCAGGTTGGCCTGTGAGGAGCAGCAAACACAACTGTGGAATCAGACCTGGTTCACATTCCAGATCCGCCAACTTTTTCTGTGCGTCTCTGAGCGAGTTACTCGGAACTTGGACTCTTTGTCTGCCAGACAGGACAGTGACATCCATCAGGCAGGGGTTCTAACAGATTGAACACAGTATTTCATGGATGGCAACAATCAGCATGGGTGGAGCTGGGCCACACTCTGTGGTGAGGACACTTCCTACTGCGTCCCTTCCACTGAGCCCTGTGTCAGTGGTCACTGGCCGTTGGGCCCTTGTGGTAGAGAGAAATCTTTCTAAGGAAGAAAAGCCAAAGACATACCCACAAGGAGAGCGAGACTGAAATCGGTTTCTGGGTGGAAATAAAAAAAAATACTCTTTCCCATTTACAGTGACATCCCCTGGTTGGCTCTGCTCACGGAGGCTGCTTGCTACCCCCTGCAGGTGTTTGCGTGCGTGACCCGTGCTGTCTGGCCATCAGCAGACACCACAGCTCTCGCCCCAGCCCAGGAAATATGTGAGTCACCTTTTCTAATTTCATTATGTTAGCCGTCAGCTCTTGGCAGAGGACCTCCACATTTAATTGTACTTGTGACCCCAGGCCGGATGGTGCTGTCTGTCTGTAAGAACAAAGAGAAAAATGATTATGTGCAGCGGTGGCAAAGGAAGTGGAATGAACACATTTAAAATTTATCTGTACAGAAAACTGGGTTACAGTTGCCAGGCATGAGCATTTCACTTGTTAACATCGGAAAGGCTGGACAACTCTTAACCTGTTTTTGTGGAAGTGGCCGTGTTGTACCTTGGCTTCCGAACCAAAAAAATCAGGCAATTCCGCTCAAGCACATGGCTTCTTAGACCTCTTGCTCACCTCGAATATCCTTGTTGTCCCCACCAGACCAGAAATGAGCAAGAATTACTGCTCTTCTCAGTCATAGACTTACTTTTGGAGGAGAGACCATTTACAAAGGAATTTTAGTCAAATTGCTGCTCAAGTGTGAGACTTTTTCTAGCTTGGGATTTGCCATGCCCATGGAGCTAGCCTTGTCTTAACAACAGAACGTGGATTCATCGTGTGCCATTTCAAGTATTTACGGCATGGGCTCTTCCCCAGGGCTCAGTGGGGTCCCATACCAGCTGAAACTGCAGGAAATTGAGCGCTGTGTGTACATTTTCCTGGAGAAGTGGTCTAAAGCCTTTGAAGCAGATTTTCATGTTAAGGTTAAGAACCATGGTCTCTAGCTTCTCCATATTTCTTGGCTGTAATTTATTTAGCCATTAAGGTTTTAGATGGCAGTGATGGGTCTAATTATTTAACACAGGTACTTGGTGAATGACTGAGGATCATCTAAACATTAAGAAAGGAATTAGATGTTTCTCTGTATACTAGTACTAAAAACAAACAGCTTTCTGTATCCCTGAGCCGCACCATCAAAATCTTAGATCCCAGACAGGAAGCCGAATGGGAATCTGTCAGTGTCTAGAGAGAAGGGAACTGATGGATCAACACGAAATTCTGACAGCATACAGGCTACTGATGCACCAACAAAGCCAGTAAAAGGTATGGATTCTGCGACCACTAACTGACCCGCTTACAAGTGTGGATCTAGCTATGGGGCAGCCTGGCTGGATCACCTTGGTGAAAGGAAGATTAGGCTCAGGTCTTATAAATCACTTTATGAACATATTCTTCCCATCATGCGTGTTCCTGGCCCCATGTCCTAATCTTTGTGATTTTTCCTTTAAATGATGATTCTTTACACTACTTCTTCCTGGGTTGTTGTTCTTTTTTTTTTTTAAGATTTTATTTATGGGCAACTGGCTGGCTCAGTTGGTTAAGTGTCTGCCTTCGGCCCAGGTCATGATCCCAGGTCCTGGGATCAAGTCCTGCATTAGGCTCTTTGCTCAGGGGAGTCTGCGTCTCCCTCTGACCCTCCCTACTCTTGTGCTCCTCCTCTATCAAATAAATACATAAAAAATCTTTATTTATTTGAGAGAGAGAGAGCACACACAAGTAGGGACAGCAGCAGGCAGAGGAAGAGGGATTAGCAGATTCCCCACTGAGCAGGGAGTCCAATGTAGGTCTCAATTCCAGGACCCTGGGCTCATGACCTGAGCAAAAGGCAGACTCCTAATGACTAAGCCACCCAGGTGCCCTGTGTTGAGTAAATAGTGGAATGAATATTCCCTTTGTTCTTGTTAGTGGGAGTCTCCCCCTCATCATCACCAAGTTAACGAAAAGATAATCAGACATAAGGTACATTTTTGTTAAAAAAGCCAACCCTGTATATGATAGTGAACTAGGAGGGCACACTATATTGCTGTGGCCTAAGTATGTCAGCATTTTGAACAAGAAGGGAGAAAGTAAGGGCAGGGTATAAATCTATTCTAGACTGTTCTTTATGTTTCCACTGTATTGGCTCAAAAGTATATGTTATGGTTCAGAAAGAACCTGTATGCCAGCAGACATGTAAGCCACAGAATGAGACTTTAGGTCATTGTTTGAGCATAAAGAGGCCCTAGAATGGCATAATCTAATAATTCTCCAAGTACAGACCCATGCCAGCACCATCAGCATCACCTAGGAACTTGACAGAAATGCAAATTCTTGGGCCCTCCATTCTAGTGCATCAGAAACTCTGGGGAGGGGCCCTGCAGTCTGTTTTAACAAGCCATCCAGATGATTCTGAAGCACACTCTATACAGCCTAATCCAGTTCCTAGGCTGTCCCTCACAACCAAGCCACTGGTAGATGGGAAAGCCTGTCCTCCGTGTAGTCATACTGACTTGCATCTGAGACCTGATTTGATTATAAACTGTATGACAGTAAATTATTTCTCTGGGTCTTAGTTTTCCTCATCTGTAAAATGGGAATAAAAGTTGTCTTAAAAGGCTATGGTGCTGTCTGTCAAATAAATAAAATCTTTTAAAAAAGGCTATGGTGAACATAAAATTAGAATTGCACGTATATATATTTCTTTCTTTCTTTCTTTTTTTTTTTTTAAAGATTTTATTTATTTATTTGACAGAGAGAGAGCACAAGTAAGCAGAGTGACAGGCAGAGGGAGAGAGAGTAGCAGGCTCTCTGCTGAACAGGGAACCCAATGTGGGACTTGATCTCAGTACCTGAGCTGAGGGCAGCCGCTTAACCAACTAAGCCTCCCAAGCGCCCCATATGTATCTATTTTAATAGAGTCTCTAGCACATGGTATAAACTCTGTAAATGAGTATCTCTACTTGTAGAACCTGAGTTGGGCACCTGGCTGGCTCAGAAGAGCTCGTGACTCTTTCTTTTTTTTTTTTTTTTTTTTAAAGATTTTATTTATTTTTTTGATAGAGAGAAATCACAAGTAGGCAGAGAGGCAGGCAGAGAGAGAGGAGGAAGCAGGCTCCCCGCAGAGCAGAGAGCCCGACGCGGGGCTTGATCCCAGGACCCTGGGATCATGACCTGAGCCGAAGGCAGAGGCTTAACCCACTGAGCCACCCAGGCGCCCCAGCTCGTGACTCTTGATCTCTGGGTCATGAGTTTGAGCCCGACGTTGGGTGTAGAGATTACTTAAACTAAAAAAGAAAAACCCAACAGTTTAAAAAAAGAAAGAAAGAAAGAGAGAAAGAAAGAAAGAAAGAAAGAAAGAAAGAAAGAAAGAAAAAGAAATTTGGGTTACAAGTATGCTTTCTAACATGGAGTAATTTATTTCACTTTTTGGTAATGGATTAAAATCCTTATGTATATGGATTTCAAGGAAAGAGCTCTGAGTGGGTGAGATGGAAAATCTTCACAGATGTATTCAGCTAATTACTAGTCACAGAGATCTTAAAAGTAGTCAAGAGGGACGCCTGGGTGGCTCAGTGGGTTAAAGCCTCTGCCTTCAGCTCAGGTCATGATCCCAGAGTCCTGGGATCGAGCCCCGCATAGGGCTCTCTGCTCAACAGGGAGCCTGCTTCCTCCTCTCTCTCTGCCTGCCTCCCAGCCTACTTGTGGTCTCTGTCTGTCAAATAAATAAATAAAAATCTTAAAAAAAAAAAAAAAAAAAGTAGTCAAGAATTTTGTGAATATATGAGTTAATATAAAGAGTTAATATGTGATAAATGAGCTGAGTTATTTGAATTGAATTGCTTCTTTCCTATTAGTGTCTTCACTCACTGTCCTTTTAGTAAGATAAACTGGTATATATTACTAAGTGGGCCAAGGTCAAGCTGAGTCTTAGGCTACCAGAACAAGATAATGTAAAATCAGGCGTGTTTCTTGATAATCTGGCAACACTCTAGCAAGAACAGTTCGGAGTCCAGGCATTCACTTCTAGGATCCTCCCACCAACCCCTTTATCCCCCCTGGATGCACTTAACAAAATGTCTCCTATGGAATGTAACCTCAGTTCACATTTGCTAAGAAGGATGGTAAGCGCCCAACATTAGACTAGTCTCAGGAGCAAGCAGATGACAGCATAGGAGGGAATCGTCTTACTCCTGATGATGAGTGTCCACGATGGAGGTTAGTGACCCCAGCCTCTCCTCCAGAGTATTAATTCTGTATCTCATGTAGAAGGTCGAGATGATTAGTGCACAGACACTGGAAAGGGATAAAAGAGAAATTCTTAATAGGTTCATGAACTGACACTCATGAAACTATCAACTCAGGGCCAGTGTTGTATCTTTAAGGCAAGATATTCTCCAAAATTAATTTGCCAGAGAGACTTGAAAAAGGTCTTTTTTTCTCAATAGGCTGATGTCTTGTCACAAAACTTGAGAGTGAAAACGGGATTTAAAATCTTCTGGTCCAGGTTCCTCGATTTATAAACAATGGCCATTCTACTAGGGTCTCTCAAGGCTATGCCCAGGGTGGATTACCAAGCCTGTGCTCCTCCCATGGGGTGCTGTGTCCCTTACTAGGAGGCCCTGGCCAGTGAGTGCCCAGTCTTGTTCTCTGGTGACTCACAAGTTCCCTTCTTTATCTGGAAACCAAACTGGGCACATCCTCCCTGGTAGTAAGGAGAACCTAGAACTGGGTCAGCCTATTTTCAGAAAAACAATTGGTTAAAGGCTGGAAGCTGAGGAGGAAAGGTCTTAAAGTTATGCTAGAGTTTTCAGAGTAAAAGGGATGATGGTATTTTGAAGTTGTTTTGGCCTCTGTCCAGAGAACATGGGATAGATGAGAAGATAAATAGTAAGGCCAAAGATGCTTCATCATTCACAGAACAGTTTTCTTACTAACAGTATCCACTCATAACGTAGTCCTCTGCTAGAATTGGCCCAATTCGGTCTTCCTTCCTTTCATTTATTTAAATAAGGGAATAAATAGGAAAATGTAACCTAAGCCTAAGGAAAACAAAATGTTGGAATAGGAGACAAAATTGTCAAAGGAAAGATGTGGGTCACATGAGAGACAACTGAGATTTATAATGACTCTTGGAACTGTTAGATTATTCTTTTAGAGAAATGAATGATTTTAAGTCACTCAAAGTAAATTCATCTACTTACACAATTGCGTAAAATATAAGAATATGGTGGAGAGTCATACATGTCTGAGACTTGAATTTGTGTAGGACTCCAGTGGTTTCTGACTGACCTGTTGGGAGAAGAAAAAACAGTTTTAAAACTACAACACACCTCCTTCATCCAGCAAAATCCCTTCAGGGAAGAGGTACTTGAAAGAGGTAATTATTCCAGGATAATAGACATTGAAGAAAACATTGAAGCCTTCCAGGTGTCTGTTCTTGCTCTCATATCAGTATAATTGGTTAACAGCTATTAGGATACTTAAACTAAGTAAGCAATAATTTGAGTTTTATCACCAGTTTTTGAGTAACATTCTCAAGATACTAAAAATAATGAAGGGACCTCCAGGAAGACTAGTCACCTCTGTATTCCTCACAATAAAGCACAGAACTGGATAATGTTTGTTGAATAAGTACATGAATTAATATGCACAGAACAAAGACCTACAGTAGGAAAGGAGGGGTGGGAATATGAAAGGCAGTCATAAACTGAAATATGAGTGCCCTTTATTTTTTATTGAAGATTTTATTTATTGAGTGAGAGGGAGGGGCAGAGGGAGAGGGAGAAGCCGACTCCCCACAGAGCAGGGAGGGCAATGCAGGGATTGATCCCAGGACGCTGAGATCATGTCCTGAGCCAAAACCAAGAGTGGGATGCTTAAGTGAGCCACCCAGGGGCCCCTGACATATGGGGGTCCTTGAAAAGTTACAAGCTGATGACTACCACACTCCCTTACCCAAGACATTCTGTTCCTTACCATGTACAGGGAGAATCTTGGCTTTTCCTTCAGGCACTCTATTCACATGGGCATCTGCCCGGGTTGGTTTTGTTTCTCCCTTGGAGACGTTCAGAACTGTCTGGGATTCTGTCACATGGAAATCTATCAAGCCAAAATGGGGCTGGCTAAGTTTCCTTCCCAATGCATTTAAAAACACACCATCAACCACAAAGCAAATTAATCTCACAACATGCATAATGGCTGAGAATATAAATGGATCTTCTCACAAGTTGGTTCAGCGGTTAGGTATTGAAATTCAATGCTTAAGAAGTAAGAAAATGATACAAGGATAGTCTGTCCTTAGCCCACTAACTCACTGGGCCCATTCAGCTAGAACAGTGAATAATATGATTGAAAGAAGAGGTAAAACAAAACAAAACATTTTGTGTATTTCTCTTTGAACTGCCCTAATATGATGTCAATTTAAGAGATTTATTAAATGTGTATAAAGAGAAATTTTTTTTTAACCAAGCAGACAATTATTTTCCCTGAAACTTTCAAACGACCCTTTCTCCAGAGTCTCTTATCAAATTTTAATTGTTAATTAGTCCCTTCCTGATTGACAAGGTGGTTTTTGTTGGTTTTGTTTTGTTTTATAGGGGTGAGATGAGGATATCTGGTGGAGCCTTATACTTTAGGTAACATACAGAAATTTCTCAGACCTCGAGAGTTCTCAGATTCAGGAGTCTGAGAACCAGAGCTGCTGTATCCTTCCATGTCTTGCCTTCTTTGTCGAACCACTCCATCCAGATCTGAGAATTCATCGTTGAAATCCTGAAGGGAAACAAGGAAGCGTACAGAGTCCAATTCCCCTCAGTAAACAGACAGGCCTCTGTAATCCCCACACTTGGGCCTCACCTATAAAATACTGAAAAAGAAGGGAGGATTACCATACCCCTGGGATTTCCCCAACAGATCAGAGTACTGGTGATCAAAACAGATTTTTCTGGGCTGTTAAAATCCTGTCAACAGTGGCCAACTTGTTTGAAACAACAAATGTTTAGAAAAAGCACTGCTGATGATTGAAAAGCTTCCAGGGTCAAACTGGAAAAGTCTCATTAGCATTCTGTCATGAGAAAAAGTGATCGACGCAGACATATAGGAGAAAAGAAATAGAAGTACAGTTTTCTAAACCCATGTTCTCAATGCAAAGGTATTCTTTAAATCATAGTATAAAAAAAGGAATTTTAATGGAAGGAAAAATGCCTTTAACAAATTAGACACTGAAAGCAAAGTTAGCTCCCTTCCACCAACCAAATTAAAAGAGAGGCTGTGCTATCACTATTGAATGATAGAAGGAGGATAGAGGCGTGAGCAGTAGGGAAAAAGCAGGGATGTTTAACTTTTATCCCACTTGTTTCCCCCAAGTGCTTAAGTACTGAAGGGACCACAGGGGTCATTAAAATGTACCCTTCCCCACTCCCAGGAGGTGCAAGTAAGCTGAGATTTTCACAGCTGAGTTAGCTGCCAAACAGCAAATGACCAGCCTTCAGCTTACACTGGCTATCTTTGGATCGTTTCAATAATTTATTTCAATTTCATTTCAGTTCATTTCAATTTCATGCAAAAATATATAGGAGAGAGAAAGTTGAAGAATTCCAGTCTCTTCGATTTAATAATTATTGACTGAAAGCCTATCATGTATCAGGCAGTACGCAAAACTCCTCAGACCGATGACTGCACTTAATCTTCACAGCCACACCATGAAGCTGGCATTTGGCTGGATGAAGAAACTGAGTCACAGCAGTTAAAAGCGCTTCTCTGATGGCATAACTCAGCTGGGCAAAACCCAGATTTGAAACCAAGTTTGTTGGATTCCAAATTATATGTCTTGGTTTTTGTTTTTTGTGTTTTTTTTTTCTTAACAACTTCCCACTACTTTTTTTCCCTAAGGTGTTTTTTTTTTTTTGAGATAAAATTCATGTAATAACAAAAATCATCATTTAAAGCATACAATTTAGTGGTTTTTAGAATAATCAGAATGTTATGCTGCCATCACCACTGTCTTATTTCAGAACGTTTCCACCACCTGCAAAGTGAATCCCTTTACCTAGTAGCAGTCACTTCTAATTTCTCCCTTGCCCTGTCCCTTGGCAACCACTCCTCTACTTTCCCTGTCAGGTTGTCTGTTTGGGACATTTTGTATAAATGGAATCCTACCGTATGTGGCCTTTTGAGTCTGGCTTCTCTTGCCTAGCGTCATGTGTTCAAGGTTCTTTCATGTTGTATGTGTCAGTACTCCTTCCTTTATATGGCCAAATAATATTCTACTGTATGGACATACGACATTTTATTCATCCATTCAGCAGATGATGGACATTAGAATTTTTTTTTTTTTTTTTTTTTTTTGGCTATTATGGACAGTTCAGCTGTGAACTTTTTTTTTGTTTTTTAAAAGATTTTATCCATTCACCTGAGAGATAGCGAAAGAGAGAGAGAGAGAGCGAGAGAAGCAGACTCCCCGCTGTGCAAGGAGCCTGATGGGGGACTCAGTCCCAGTACAACATGGTCACAAACTGAGCTGAAGGCAGACACTTAATTAACTAGTCACCCAGGCATGCCAGCTGTGAACATTCTTGGACGACTTTTTATGTGTATATGTTTTCAATCCCTGTACTATTTAATAGCTCTTAGAAGATTTGTAGATATGAAAGCCATGGGCTCATACTATTGCACTCAAGGTATTCCGGTATTTAACAGGAATCAATTTGGGAATAAGGACTTGAATAAATACGGCTAGGACTCTTGGGCTGACATCACAGCATTGTAGGTACAAATGGGGTAACTACTTTCCACTGGAGATTTACTATTCAGTCAACAAACTCTAAAGGGGGAAAAAAATCTTTCACTTGGTGACTACAGAGTTCTTTTACAATTGCAAAACACTGACAAGCAAAGACAGCAAGATTTTACAAACATCTCCACTGACCACTTGCTCACCCAGACAGCCCACTATCCTGTTTCTTTTGTAGGACAGCTCTTTAGTTACCTGAAAAAAGTTTATGGCCTCCTATGGCCCCCTTTTCTTCAGCACAGAAATGCCCTTGCCTTCAGATTTGACCTCAGATTTTAAGGTCCTACGCTACTTCCATCGCCTGATCCTGGTGTAAGGAGAAGTGTCATTGTGGGACACATTCCCTTTCTGTGGCTTTTAGATTGTTACGTAGACAACTCACCAGAGGCAGAGATGAAGGGCGGTCTGCCCGGAAACTGTTTTCAAGAGAAGATGGGTTGGGACTGTTCCCGACGCTCGTATTCTGAAATTAATGAAACAAAATGAAAAACCAGATCAACTAGGAAACCAGCAGAAATAGAAAAGAGAGACAGCAGCTGGGGCTCAGGGATGTTGTACTCACGTCTAAGTGTCCACACACAGATTTCAGTAGCTTGTAAGTAGAATCTCTGGAGAGGAAGGAGACAAATATGTACTGGAAAACAAAACAGCCATTATTAACAGATACTGCGTGGAAACACGTGAGAGTTCAGAGTGCAAAAAATTTATATAATTCTTTTCCTTTTCAAAGGAAAGACTCATTCACCCACACATTTTTTTTTTTTTAAATTCCATTTCCGTAATAAACCAAGCCTCTTTCCCCACAAGGGCAACAAAACCCTCAAACCCCATTTAAGTAATAGCAATGTGAAGGCGCTAAGGCACTGAAACAGATGCCCCAAACAAGCACACACAGGCTTAAAAAAAAAAAAAAAGTCATAATATTAAAAAAAGGCCAATGATACTTGCTAGATCTTCTTTAAAGCTTGTTCTCCAGCCACCCCTCCCCCCCTTTCTTTTAAGGTATTTAACATTTCCCAAGGGTCCTCTTTCTCTGTTCTGACCTAGATTTCCACTAAGAATTTCCCAGAGGCTCTTAGAGGCTCCATTCTTTTTTAAGCCACTTCCAGATTCTCCCTTGTACAAATATGGAGATTTTTCTAGTGGATGCATGTATACGTAAGTGATGGGCAAAAAGTGAAATCAGACTAGAGAAGGAATTTGGAGACACATGACATAAGGAAAAATGAATTTACCATGAACATGTTAAGTGGGGGTGCCTGGGTGGCTCAGTGGGGTAAGCCTCTGCCTTTAGCTCAGGTCATGATCTCAGTGTCTTGGCATCGAGCCCTGCATTGGGCTCTCTGCTCAGTGGGAAGCCTGCTTCCCCCCTCTCTCTGTCTGCCTCTCTGCCTACTTGTGACTTCTCTCTCTCTCAAATAAATAAAATCTTTAAAAAAACATGTTAAGTGGTAAAGTGTTACATATGTTAAGAAAATATTAAAACTCATTCTTTCTCTGTTTGAGCCACAGAATCTTTTCAGAACCCCCTTCCAGAAATTTGTAATTATCCCTTTTACTCATGGAGGAGAGCCCTTGATAGGTTTTCCCAGAAAGTATGTATTCCAGAGTAGTTAACACTGTGGGTTCTGCCTTTAGACCCAGTTGCTAGGTCTGGCGCTGCTACTTAGAAGTGGGTAACAGTAGGCAAACTGCTCAACCACTGTTGGCTTCAGTTTTTCTTTTGTTTTTTTTTGAAGATTTTATTTACTTAGGCAGAGTATGTGAAGTGGGGAGGGGCAGAGAGAATCTCAAGCCGACTCCGCCTGCCTGCAGAGCCCATAGCAGGGTTGGATCCCATGATCTTGAGATTAGGACCTGAGCTGAAATGAAGAGTCGGACCCTCAAGTGACCCTTGGCTTCAGTTTTCTTTTAAAATTTTATTTATTTATTTATTTATTTGACAGAATAAGAGAACAGGAGAGCACAAGCAGTGGAAGGCAACAGAGGGAGAGGGAGAAGCAGGCCCCCTGCCAAGCCCAACACGGGGCTCGATCCCAGGACCCTGGGATCATGACCTGAGCCAAAGGCAGACGCTTAAGAAAACTGAGGCCAGGGCGCCTGGGTGGCTCAGTTGGCTAACAACACTTACCCCTTCTGGGTGGCAGTGTGGAATCAATGTGAAAATAGAAGGAAAGTATTTAGTGTATGCCTGGCGAGAAGTACTTAATGCCTGTTAGCCATTCGTATTATAAACTTTTTTTTTTTTTCCAAAATATTAACCTATTTTCTACTCTCATCAGAATAGCCTCTTTTATCTTTTCCTCCACCCTCCTTCCCTCTCCAGGTTATCCAGTAAGGTTGGAAATGGAATGCAGCTTTTATACTTTCATAGAAATACTACTATTTTAGTATAAATACTAAAAATCTTAAAAAAAATAATTTCAAGTGAGAAATGAATAACCGAACCATTCCACTCCCTCTTTCTGGCTCAAGTGAAATAAACACCACTATCAATGCAAGTATCCGGTCACACATGTGTGGCGCAGCTCAACGGTCAAGAGAAATACAGAATTTCTATATAGAACTTGATGCAACCTGGAAGCAAAGAGGTGCTAGAAACTGGTTCCAAAGCTGACCCCCACATGGCAAGCACCGGGTTCATATATCGGGGATGGCTCTGGTGAGGAACCGAGTAAGGTTCTGGGTCCCAGAGACTCTTCGGTCTCATCCCCTCAACAAAGCAGTGGGGGTGGTTTTAAATATTAAAGAAACTCAATATATCAGTTTAGCCTCTTCCGAGAGATACTAGAGAAAGGGGAGTTGGGAAAGAATCTTCCGTTTCTGACCTTGGTCAAGCAAGTAGAATTAAGTCAGCAGGAAACGCAAAATTGTCAACAATTATATTAGAATAAAGCACCTTGTGAGGGGAAACAATATACAAACAGGACAAAGCGAAGGCGCCCTCGTCTCCGAGGCCTACTCACCCGGTCTGTGACTGTTGCTATAATTAAGGCATTTGGCACGAGGAGGGCAGTTTTGGTTTTCTTTATGAGGGTGACTGAGAACGCCGGAATAGAGATCTGAAACAGAATCAGTTCGCACTGGTTGAGCCTTCATTGAACACGACTTCAGATCTTCATGTGGAAGGAAGAAAAAATTTTTTTTTAAAGTTTAACGAAGAAGGGGCGCCTGGGTGGCTCAGTGGGTTAAAGCCTCTGCCTTCGGCTCGGGTCATGATCCCGGGGTTCTGGGATAGAGCTCCACATCGGGCTCTCTGCTCAGCAGGGAGCCTGCTTCCCTTCCTCTCTCTTTGCCTGCCTCTCTGCCTACCTGTGATCTCTGTCAGATAAATAAATAAAATCTTAAAAAAAAAAAAAAAGTTTAATGAAGAAATCCAAAACCACCAGGGAGCTCTCCAGCCTCCAGGAAAAAAAATCCAAGTCTCCTCCAAGTTCTGCTTCCAAAGCCAGAGGGTAAATCTGCCTCATTAATTCTACTGTTTTCAAGAGAAGGGCTGGGTGAGAAACCTTGATCTTGAGACAAGGCAATGAATGCAAAATGCACAGTCATCTTAAAGGTAGGCCCTGGCTCTACAGAAACAGAGTGCTTGTGGCCATCCCCCTAGGGCTAATCTCCACACACCACCCTCTCATCTATCCTTATACATATGCAGGTATGGAAAACCTTGACTGACGCTGTTATAGTGGAATCACTACTAGACAGAAAGTCCCGGACCTGAATTCTCAGTTGTTACTTCCGTGAAAGCGAATAAAGGAAACCTTATTTAAAATGCAATTTGGAGGCCCAAAAGGGGAGCTCTCCTGTACCACCTCTGGTCCTCAGTTGCAGATCCTAACAGGAAGAAGCCCACTTGACTACCCACCCCAGCCAGAGGAAGGAAGGATTTCTCCTTGCCCAGCAAAAAGCTCAGCCAATGAGAAGGCATGAACGCTCAATTCTCTTCAATGAGCTTCTGTCCAAAGCAACCCCTCCCAACTTCCTCCTTTGCTCTATAATTTAATATTTCTTTCCTTTGATCTTGACTTCCCTATGGTTTGCCAGAGCTTTGCATGGCTCAAAGTGTGATTTCTCTCCCGTTCCTGAATAAACCCATTTTGCTGATAAAACCACTGGCTGTTTTTACTTTTTCCAGTCCATACTATCTACGTGACCTACTCGACCTTACAAACCACACTTTCTAAGTCTCAGGTTTCTGGTTTGTAAAATGGAGATAATCTTCCTGCTTCCCAGGATTTTCTGTAGATTCAGTGAGATAATATATGGAAAATGCCTAGCACTCATTAAGAAAGTAATGTATTGTGCTCACTTTGGCAGGACATATACTAAAATTGGAATGATACAGAGGAGATTAGCAGGGCCCCTATGCAAAGATCAGTGCAAATTCATGAAATGTTCCACATTAAATTAAAAAAAAAAAAGTCATTCATTTCCTCATTCGTCTTATAAGAAGAGGATGAGTGAAATAAAAGAACTTGAACTTCTCTGGTTTGAACAATAGAGAATTAGAACAGATGAGAATGTCATTTTAATTAGGACAGTCCTATAAAGTACATGCTCTAAGAGACTAGGACATGTGTTTACAGAGGTAGGTGACTTGTCCAAGGTCATAAATGGGTTACGAGAGAATTTGAATCAATCCAATCCAAAATGTGGGTTCTTTTTCATCCAGTGTATTACAAGCATGTACCAGATAACACGAAGAATAGATGTTGCAATATTTTTATGTTATATCCCCCCAAGCCAGTTTGGTTTCAAAGAGAAATGGGCCATATCACTTTAATCCTGATAAAGAGTCATACGCATCCACGGTAAAATGAACTGACTCCCTCCACAGATACTTATTCAAGTGTACATTATCTTGTAAAAATGCTTCACATATTCTAGAAGAGAGCAACAAGGTCAGTGGGGAAGAGGAGGGCCTTAGGTTAGTACTGTCAGTTTGAAGGAAGAAAACTGAGCTTTTAATTCTGAACACTGTCTTTCCTGTATTTAGGTTTATGAGACAGAGATGTTCTACTGCCCCTCCAAGTTCCAGATGGGAAGACTATGGAAGAATGAGGGGCTAATCTTAATGAGATATTTCCTAAAAACTATTTTGCTGAAGAACTCTACTGCCCAAAATTTTGAAGTGTAGGAGATAACTCATATGGTAAACATTAGGATAAATCTGGGGGAAAAAAAGTAAAGTCTGCCAAGATGGATGAGGATATAAAAATGAGTTTGATTTTGTTTCTGAGCAGCAGCACAAGCACACAGAGACTAGGGGCTACATATTTTTTTTTCATAATCTAAGGCATGGAACACTCTTAAGGAGTTTTCAATCAACTGCTTAATAAGTATAAAATGACAACCAGATCACATGTGAGAAATAAAGTATAAATCATTTTTCAGTTTGAGTCTAGATGGGATATGATACATGCATTTAATTTTACCAGTATCTGAAAATGCAGTCAGACTGACCAAAATGTCCTGATTTTAAGGCTGCACTTTGTTAATATTTTTCCAGGGTAGGGTGCTTAGAATTTCCCTCCCTAGAGTGAATTGTGTGAACTGCCTTTAGTTTATGTGGGATCATGTTGGACCCAGTTCTGTTGGCAGTATGGGAATTCTGCCACAGATCTGTGGCCCCAATCTCATTGCCACCATCCTGGGAAGGGAAGAAATGTACAGGTCACTACCACAGTTCTTAAGTTCCTACCTCCTGATGATTTTTAACCCCTTGTCTCTTAGATTAGCTATAGCACATGCAAAAGCAACCCCTGCTACTACCTTTTTAGAAAACCAGTGTGGGGGCGCCTGGGTGGCTCAGTGGGTTAAGCCGCTGCCTTCGGCTCAGGTCATGATCTCAGGATCCTGGAATCAAGCCCCACATCGGGCTCTCTGCTCAGCAGGGAGCCTGCCTCCTCCTCTCTCTGCCTGCCTCTCTGCCTGCTTGTGATCTCTGTCAGATAAATAAAAAATTAAAAAAAAAAATCTTAAAAAAAAAAAAAAAAAGAAAGAAAACCAGTGTGTTAGGCCACTCCTTTTCTCTTTTTGTGGTCTGGCCATTTCTCTTTTAGGTAGATACTGGATTTTAAAACCACTGTTAGGATCATATATTAGCTTCAAAGTACACTTACTGAGTTTAAGAATTCCCCCATCCCTTAACAAAGACTCATTCTTCCTTCACTAATATCTCCAGCCCTGCTGCTTTCATCAGAGGTGTTGGCTCTAAATTCCTGGGAATTATCTTATCACATTAAACTGTGGAGATTCCTGGGGCACCTGGGTGGCTCAGTGGGTTAAAGCCTCTACCTTCAGCTTGGGTCATGATCCCAGGGTCCTGGGATCGAGCCCCAAATCGGGCTCCGAATCGGGTTCTCTGCTCAGCAGGAAGCCTGCTTCCCTCCCTCTCGCTCTCTGCCTGCCTCTCTGCCTACTTGTGATCTCTGTAAAATAAATGAATAAAATCTTTAAAAAAAACACAAAACTGTGGAGATTCCTGCTACCCAATTCCTTCCCTACTCCATGAACAAGTTCTTACAACTGAGCAGTCTAGAAATCCGGTGGAAAACTGCTTAATACTGCTTTGTGTTATACTGATTCAGGTGATCATATTTATCAAAATGTTTGTCTAAACACAACTCTACAGAATTATAGAACAACATCAAAAATAACATGTCTGACCCACAGAACAATGTGCTAGTCGGCGGAACTAACAACAACAAAATCAAGAATTTTCCCTTGTATTTGTTACATAGTCATTATCCTAAAGATTGCCAGGGGCTTTAGGGAGAATATTTAAATAAAACATAACTACCACTCAAAAAGTTTTTAGTCAGCAACTTCATGAATATTAAAGCAGCTTGTTCATGCATCAGAAGGATTAAGAACTCATTCGGTCACACAAACCTAAGGAGTTTCTCAGACTCCTTGTTCTGGTGGCCTGTGGTGTGACATTGCAGGTCAAAAGGAAAGAATGTCAGTGGGATGGTATTATCTTTTTCCTTCTTATGACATAGTCCCAGGGTCCTCCCTTTGGAGGGAGTGGCTTGGGAAAACTGCCAATTCCTCTAGGCTATCCTCCTTAACAGCTCAGGTGTCTTGGGCCTGTGCTCCCCCAAATCTGTTTAATGAGAATGAGAACTTGTCAATCATTGTCTACTGGGGAATGTGGGTGTACAACTCTCTCAGACCAGGCCTTAAGTGTTCTAATTCCTGCTCATTTGGTGCTGGTGATGGTACAAAGTGAGCTCCTTTAAGCCTGTTTTTCTACATGTCTGATGTGACAGGCACAAGGTGTAAAAATCGGTATTTATTTAAAAAATGGTCTTGGGTTTAATATATGTCTTTGAAACAAATGATGGCACGCTCTCCAAATGGACAACTTTGAGAGTTCTCTAGTGACATCTGGGTAAGGATTGAGCGTATGATTGTGGGAGAGATCTATGTATATAAGGAAATAAACTGAGAGTGGTCTTTAGGAGAAAAGGGAAGTTAGTATCAGTTAGAGGTATTTAGAACCTGTAATATTTGGAACTATGATAAGGGAAATAAAGATATAAAGGTATAACAAGAATAAATATTTATCAACATTGCTACGCTTAAACAAACTGACTTTCACAACATATAATAAAGTGCATAGCTTTCTTTTAAAAAATTATACCAACCTTAGTGTCTTTTCCGAAGACCTTGGAATGAAAACAAATCCAGTTTTCTGATACAAAGAGCTTCCCCTGGTATAATATCTCTTTCTGTAGAGCACAGGTAAAACCTGGGAAAACAGAAACAGGTATAAGAGGGCTTGCAATTTCCAAATGAAACAAAAATTCCGTAAATATGTTGGTGACTCAGGATTGGCAGAGATAATATACTCATATTCAAAAGATCTTTCTCCTCTTTGTCAGCTGTCTTCCGTGGAGTAAAGCTATGGGCATGAGAGTTTGTTTTTTAATTCAAAGTCTGACATGCTTTGGTATGAAACTCAAAATGGCCAGGCAAGTCTATCACTACAAACGAGAGTTTGAGAATGGAGTTTCAAAATCCCTTTATTTAAGGAAGGCGTGTCACCTTGAGCTTGTGTTGGCATTCCTGCCCCTCCTACTCTGGGACGGTCACTAATGACTCCTTTGGAAATTGATGGTCTCAGTGTGGGAAGAGCATGTGACCCACATGATTGGGCCTCATGGCAGGAATCCAGCCTCCTGCTTAACATGGGTATAACTGAGAGGCCAGAATGGAACCTTGGTCCTAATGAACCTAAGAGGAGCAGAGGTCTTCACTGGCTTGCTGAGCAGGATGTCGGGGGTGATCCTTGCGCCCCACATAATCTAGGGTTGACATGCCTGTGCATTAGAATCTGTGCTTCCTTTCAGCCTTCTTCCAGTGTTCTCTGTTTCTCCAGTCTCGTTATCTTCACTCTCAGGACAACCCATGCACAGTGCATTTCAGCCATCAATACAGAGGTGAGGAAATCATTCTGTAATCCTCTTAGAGGGTTCCCTGTTATGAGGACAAATTCAGTTTCCTGGCCTACTTTCCTTCAAGTGCTTGGTGACAGCTGAATGAGGCTGGCACCACTGTCACATTGTGACTTTCAAAAACCTGTTCCCGTGGGTGCTTCAGCCCCCAGATGGAGGCCGCTTTCTACCCCCAAACCAATTAACGTCTCTTCAAATAAGTCAAACAGACCAGAACTTACTTTGCCTCAGTGGTTCCTCAGTTGGGACATCAAGGAACAACTTGTGGAAGTGCATATTGGCCTTGTACTACAATGAGAACACAACACAGGTATCACCACTCACATTTCTTGGTGAAACACTGTAAATTTTGACTTCAATTTAAATTACAAAACAAGGGATGCCTGGGTTGCTTGGTCCATTAGAGTCCAACTCCTGATTTCAGCTCAGGTTGTGATCTCAGGGTGCTGGGATCGAGCACCATGGTGGGCTCTGCACTCATCGGGGAGTCTGCTTGTGGATTCTCTCTCTCTCTGCCCCTCCCCCCCAGCTCATGCACCTGCACTCTCTCTCACATAAATCTTTAAAATAAATAAATACACCTTTAAAATAAATGAATAAATAAATAAATAACCTAACAAATTTCCCCTCCCTTGATACAGTCGCTTTAGGAATTCCTTCTCTCTGACCTCACAGTCTTCAACACAAGCCTTCAGAGTGGGCAGGGCACAAGGTTTCATTTTCCAACAAAATTAGTGACCTTCCGGTTGGACAGACATCTGTGACCATGCTGCAGCTGGTGGTCACCGTTCTGCCCAGGTGGCTCGACAAGGATGTCCCTAATAACAAATGGCATGAAACTCCAAGGGATCTCACCAGGGAAGGCAGCAGATCTCAGAGCCCTCCAGATACAAGGACTTTCAGAGTGGGGGGGCAGAGGTTGAAGGGTCAGATAAACCCGAGGTCAAGTCTTGGCTACACCTTTCCTTGGTGTGTGATTATGGCCGAGTGAGGGAGCCTTGCTGAGCCTCAAATTCTTCTGTGCCAGAGGACAAATACACTACTTGCCTCAAAGGGCTCCCATAAAGCTTAAATGGTACAATTCATCTGAAAGACCCACCACCTGGTATTGTCACTCTCACTACTTTTGTTGTGAGAGCATTTCCTTAGTCAATGTCAGGGGGAGAGAACTCTCGAGGGCGGTAAGAAGACATGTGTTTAGACAGCTGTGACAACAACAATGGACAGCCAGCAATTTCCATTTGGTAACCTGCCTTCAAAAATACCATTCCCAAAATAACCCGGGGAACTGGTGTCCCCATTCCATGGTTCTGGACAGTGTGCCTCAGGGAAACTGAATCACTGAACTGGCGCCACATGGCTAAGAGGTAGAACTGGTCCTCCTTCCAGGACCTCTGCCTGACAGGATGCTTTTGATAAAAAAAAAGTCTTGTGAGTCGAACAGAGAGATAGTACAAGCAGGCCCTTCATGTTTTATTACCCAAACTAGGAGTGGTCTCAGTAACAGGACTGGCCCTAATACTGCTCTAAGGAAGAGTTTAGAAAGGTCATGCAGATGAAAGATGGGCCCCACAAGTCAGCTATTCTACAAATACCTCATGTAAAGTAGGTCACCTCATGCTGCTTCCTAAAAGTACATTCTGCATCCAGGACATTACCTGGATTAAAGCTAGGTATTCCACAGGAGCTTTCCTGAGGTTTTTGTGTTTTTTTTTGTTTTTTTTTTTTAAATGGCTACAGTGAGAATCAGCTGCATGACTTGATTTTAAAAATAATCTGGGCCGGGGACGCCTGGGTGGCTGAGTCTGTTAAGCATCTGCCTTCGGCTCAGTCATGATCTCAGGGTCCTCAGATCAAGCCCCACATCAGGCTCCTTGCTCAGCAGGGAGCCTGCTTCTCCCTCTGCCTGCTGCTCCTGCTGCTGTGCTCTCTCTCGCTGACAAATAAATAAAAAATCTTAAAAAACAAAAGAACAAAAAACCCCCAAAAAATCTGGGCCCAAAAGGGAAAAAAAAAAATCCATGAAACAAAAAAACCTGAACATGGAGTCTTAAAAAATGTGAACATAATAAAAGGAAAAAAAAAAAATAGGTGGTGGGAATGATCTATATTAAAAACAACAGATAAATGGATAAATGCAATCATGCCCCCTGACTGGATTCTAGAGAGTGGGGGAGCAAAAAACATTTATAAAGGCCTCCAAAGGGGCGCCTGGGTGTCTCAATTCGTTAAGTGGCTGCCTTCAGCTCAGGTCATGATTCCAGGGTCCTGGGATCAAGCCCCGCATCAGGCTCCCTGCTCAGGGGGGAGCCTGCTTCTCCCTCTCCCTTTGCCTGCCACTCTGCCTGCTTGTGCTCTCTCTAGCTGTCAAATAAATAAAATCTTAAAAAAAAAAAAAAGGCATCTACTACTGGGACAATTATGGAAATCCAAAATGGATTTTATGTTAATACGATTTTGGTATATTTACTGTTTAGTTACATTTCTTGTGTGTGCCAATGGGGTTTTTTTTTGTTGTTGTTGTTCTTAGGAAACACATATTCAAGTATTTAGGGGTGAAGTGTCAATAACCACCTCAAACCATTGACTCCAGTAAGTATTCCCCACTCTAAGACACAGAACTGGGCTTTCACACCCATCTGGGGGTGTTTGAGAGCAGAACTGAACTACTCCTGGACAAGAAGCATGATCCCATTCATAGGTTCCCCACCCTCCCCCCGCCCAGCCCCGGTGCAGCTGGGGAGCCTTCCATTCATACAGGTGCTGTATCAGGCTCTAATTTTAATGCAAGGCTATCAAAGCTCTCCCGGTCTCAGTTAATTAGACCAGCATGTGACCAAATTGTTCCCTGCTCTCAGGGTGCTTGTCAGAGTTAGGGGGCATGGTGTGGAACCCACCACTGCCCAGGATATACTGAAAGGTCAGTGGGGAAATACGATCTTGATTAAAAATCAACCAAAGGAACGGCATTCTCTTCTTTCTTCCAGATTCCCTACCACCCCTGCCTATGGGAGTCCTGACCAGCAGGGAGATGCACACTTGGGTTTAGTGTCCCTGCTGTGACATGACGCACACTGCCTTCCCAAGTTACCTGGCTGGAAGACGAATACTTTTTCCTGTCCATCTTAGATTCATTTTTGCTTTCTGCTTTACAGTCGTTCTTGTCGCTTGTTAAAGAGGTACCGTCAAAACTGGATTTGGACCTGAGGAAAGAGAATCCAGGGAGCCTGTAAGATGAATTTTGTATGCTACTCATTGACTGTATTGTGATAAATCTTGATTATTATACAATCGCATGAGAAAACCTCACATTTGTTTTTCTCTTCTAGACCTTGGTGATCACTCATGATACTCTGAGAGCATTTACACAGTATAGTGTGTAGGAGACTGGGATGGTTTCACCAGGCCGCAATCTTAAACTGGAGAAATGTGAACTTGTAGAAGGGAGAAGTAACAGCTGAACTGTGAAGGTCATTATACCATCTCAAAAGTCTTTTAAGCAGTCAAAGAGGAGCAGTATAGGCAAATTATTAAACAAAACTACAGCTATAGTTCAAGCAAAGAATATTTTTGTTTCAGAGTTCCATTAATATTTAACATGTGTTAATTGAGGAGGGCATTGTATTAAAGCCAGGAGGCACACAAGGCATTCTTTTTCCTTAAGGAGCCCAAGAATTCATCAGACATCTTTTTTAAAAGGCAGTACAAGATTTAGCACCAAATAATACATACCAGGGGTGTTGGGGGCAGGTAGAGAGATACAAAATCCAACAGGAGATAAGAGAAGAGGAGCTCAATAGCACTATGTGGGTTTAATACACTGGGTCCCAGAGGATGAGCAGGAGGTGGGTATGAGGAAAAGAGAGACAAAACATCCCAGAGTGGGGAAAACAGATGTGAAACCAGGATAAAAATGAAAAATGTGTTTGAAAGTCAAGTCTTCCTTTGTTCTAGTGAGGGCAGAGGTGTTTCTGAGGTGACTGTGGTCCTGGCTCTCCGTTTGAGTACATATGCGAATTTGCACATGTCTTCAGGCCTACAGACACGCAGAATCATTTCAAAGTAGAATACATGTATGATTTTTAGAGGTCTACATAGGACCAACTTTTAGGATACAATTATGTGGGATTATTTTTGATTATTGGGAAATATAGCACATGAAATTCATGATTCCACAATATGATTCCTTACAAACAGGCTCAGTTAAAACTACTATTTGGTTCAAAGCAGATGTAAGAATCTTTTTCTTTTTTTTTTTCAAGGCAGATGTAAGAATCCTGAGTAATTCAGGAGGTTTGAGGGTACGACTCAGAGACAGAAATGACTGATGTCTGAGAGACCCAGCTATGAAAAAACAGGCTATCAGATGTTTTGGGTCCTTGCCAGCCCTAACAGTTTGGATCCAAGTTGCTCTAGCCACAGGTGAAGATTTGGACTTAGCTACTGACCACTGAAACCATTCACAGATACAAATTCCTTCTGAATTCTAGCAATTACTTTTCTCTTTGAAATTATGAGTAAAGACTGTACTCCAAAATAAAATTATTTTTTTTACAAATGTCAAATTACCTACTATTTATACTATCCACTAATCTGATTTAATCACCTCTACAGGTTCACATTAGTAAACGTCAATGGAATTGCCAAGGCAACGATAACGACCTCTTGAAGGACTCTGAGCAAATGCACCCAGGAGGGTAGCTGTATCCTTGATGAATTCAAGAGCCACCAGCAGAATGGACTTCTGCATAGCACAGCGCTCAGTGAAAGGGGGAGGAGGGCTGCTGATTTACATAGCATTGCTATCTCTGTGTCTTCTGAACTGTGGTACTCGCTTTTCTCACAGGTGACTATGAAGGGGACGGAAAACCCGGTGCAAATGAAAATGTCGGGCCTCTTACTCAAAAATTAGGAATTTCCAGACAGTGAGAGCAGAGCAGTAAAGCACGTGGGGGGCTCTCTGTGACTACACAGGCGACTCACCCACACTGTTTAATAAGCCGCTCTCACGATGAGTGTGTGCTTCTCATCCGAAGCCTGGGGGAGGCGGGGTCAAAGCAACTTTTTCCAAGCACCCACTGGAGCCAGCCAGTAATGGTAAAAGATTCAAGAAATGACATACTTTGTGCCTTTGCCCAGAGGCTCGAGTGGTGAGTGAGGTGAGATGCTCAGACAGGAAACAGCTATAGGTGTGAGATGTGTCAAGCCAGCCATGCAGAACTGAAGACGAGAGAACGAGGAAGCCAGAAAAGAAAAATCTCAGGCACAGCAAGGAGACTTACGCTTGGTCTTGAATGAAGTAAGGATTTGGAGAGAAGAAATGGGCTGGGAAGCCAGGAAGGAAAGGGAAAGGCAGGAGTTACTTCATTACCCTTCACAGAGGCCACAAGACCCTGAAGGAGCAGTTCTGACAGGTGCAGTCTCAGGGAGGAGAAAGGAGAGCAGTTTCCCTGCACCACCCGGCACAGATCCCTCGCCACACTTCCCGAAACTGACCATGGGTACACCCATTCTCTTTTCAGGGCAAGAAAAGCAAGCTGAAGTTCCTACTTCTTCCTTCCGTGTGAAAGCAAACACATAACTGGAGTCTGAGAGTGCGCCAGGGACCATGGCTCCTCTCAGAACGGCCTGTTCCCCTGCCCCATCCGGCTTCCAGCTCCGGCCCCCAGGAAGCAGGTGGCCCCCTGAGCCATGCACACCCCGGCCAGGGATCCCAGGCAGGTGGCTGCCAGGACAGCGAGACAGCAGGTGAGCACACGCACAGGCAGAGAGGCCCAAGCTGGGCGGGCCTCGAGGGCTCCTTGGCCAGCCTTTCCAGGTGCTTCTGAGGTCTATGCCAGACAGGGGGCTATGCTGGCTTTATCGGGTAGCAAGATCTGTCCTTGAAGAATGGGGCAGGTGTTCTGCAGTAGACTGGGGCAAGAAGGAGGAAAGATGCCGCCCAAAAGAAATGAGACAGGAGGGCAAGCACCGGTGCCAGGATATCAAAGACAGACACCCTGCTTGTTTCTCAGGGGTTTATTCGCCTACACGAGATCCTGATTCTCAGCCACCACCACCAAACTAGAAACACGGGCTCCTCCCAGCAGCCCCTCCTACCCAGAGGCCCCAGAGAACCAAGTGTCACCATGAGGACTCACCGCAAGGAAAGGATTCTCTTCTGGTCTGGGGACTCGGCCTCAATGGATGGGCTTGGGGACTGGACTGTTGGCGACTTGCAGATCTTCTTTTTCTCCTCCACACCATTCTCAGCCTCTGAGCTGGAGAAGAGAGAAGCACGCTTGATCTTATACATCCGGAGAAGGGGGTGGAAGGAAAACCGATGAAAACACCTTGCTTTCGGGAGGAGGGAATAATGTTCAATCCCCATAGCAGGCCGAAGTCAACTTGGATGGCAGTGCCCTTTCCAGATGTCCATTCTGCTGCCTCTCGGCTGATCCCTCAAGGGCATGAGCTCCAGGTCATGCCTGCTGCAACAGGTAAACGTCCGATTTTGTGGGAACTGGGTGGCTCCCAGGTGTGCGCCCGTGGGCCCCACACTGCTCAGCTCCACCAGGCTAGCTGTGTGCTGGGGCAACAGATCACCCAGAGGCTGGGAGGGCCTGTGTACACACGTGCTCAGCACACACGCTCACGCATGGCCTTCTGCCAGGTGTGAGCCTTTCTGCTGCCAGCCCCCACCCCTTTGTTTGCATTTCTCTTGTGTCATTTACCACCCACTGTGGTAGTTATATATAGGTCCCACTTTGGGTTGTTGATATTTTAACCAAGCACTTCTCTGAGCCATTTACGGTCTCTAATCTACGCAGCCACCTGGGCTGGGTAGGAATTATGACACCCCCTCTTAACAGATCTGGAATCTGAGGCCCTCAGATATCATCCACCTTGCCCAAGTTCACACAACCAGTATCTGTCTGAGTTGGGATTCAAGCCAAGATCTGTCCATCGAGGATGCCTCAGGGTACACACCCATCCTCATATCCTCTTCTCTCTTTCCCCTGCCATCCACCCACCCCCTGCCCCAACCACCTGTCCCTCCATCGAGCCCCCTCATAGCTCTTCAGTGGGAGAGCTCCAGGGTGGGGTAAGGATCTTAGTGATTTTTATACTGACCACACGGTTTAGGTGAGTGCTGGTATCTAATCATGATCAACAGGTTTTTAGACAACGAGGGCTGACTTTGGTGACAGAAGGATTAGAGGGGAAAGCAAGTGAGGAGGGTTTGCACCCTGTACCACTAACAAACGAGGGTAACCAGTGCGGTGGACATGGGAGCTGAGCTCCCTCAATCTTAGGGACCAGGGACACTAATTTCAGTTTGGGAAAGAAACAGGAGGGCGAGGAATGCGGGAAGAGAGAATACATGGTGTTTTACATGGACCAGACCTCCTTCTGTACCAGTCTGCAAAGCACAGAATTCACAAGACACATTTCTGAGAAGGTGAGAGCTCTAGGGTGGCTGAACATGAAAGGAAACATATTAAGATAGCATTGCGATGACCGTTTGGCTACTCTGAATCCTCATTTCCCACCATTTGGTGCCTTTACCTGCACATGACCTCACAGGCAGGAAATGTGAGTGGTTAGCTGAAGCTCTGTGGTTGCTTGCTTACCACTTCTCACAGTATGTGACAGTTCCAGCCCATTCCAGTAAGACTGCAGTAGTGTCAAAATCAAGACCAAGTGTATCTGACAAGGTAGCCAGTTAACCATCCCTACAGATGGTGGGTGTTCTTCCACTGGGAGTTAGCATTCCACTTCTGAGTATATCAACATTCCCCAACCTTCCATGTCTTCCATTCTCAAAGTGCTCAATAGTTCTTAAGTATGTTCAAAGAGCTTAGTCCGTAACTGAACTGCATGATGTGACAAAAGGCACATGGAAGTCTTTGACATATTAATAGGAAGACACTGCTTTGGTTTGAAATAGAGGTTTTATTTAATTTTACCATCAAGCTGAATTCACAGACTCTGAATTTTAGAAGGTTAAGGGGCTTTAGAAGATACTTCCACCCACCCTAACCCTCCCCAAGACACACACATTATCCCCATTCTTCAAAAGCATCAGATGGGGGACACCTGGGTGGCTCAGTTGGTTCAGTGACTGCCTTCCTCTCAGGTCATGATCCTGGAGTCCCAAGATCGAGTCCCATGTGGGGCTGCCTACTCAGTGGGAGTCTACTTCTCCCTCTGACCCTCCCCTCTCTCATGATCTCACTCTCTCATTCTCGCTCTCTTAAATAAAATCTTAAAAAAAAAAAAAAAAAAAAGCATGAGACGGTAATCCACTTGTGAGGCCCTCCTTAAGTAGGGAGAATAAGCGTGTGTAGACCCTTCATAATCCATTTGACATTTACTTATGTGTTTCCTGAATTTTGTGCACGAGTCTGAGGTGCTGCTATGCTGTACAGCACCTCTGCATACTGAGAAAGGACCCTCCCCCAGGAACCACTCACCAAAAGCTACCCATCTGTTTGGAGGAAGCCCTATTGCTATGTGGCCTGGCAGAGCTAAGGTACCCCTAGCTTGGGGCAAATGTCTTATTTAGCCAACTCCTAGACTAAATTCCTTATGCACAGGGAACATCTGAGTTTTTCCATGGCTCTCAGCTCAGCATTTGGCTCCTAGTGGTCATTTATACATGTTGACTGATGTGGGATTCATTCTGCAGTGTCTCACACAGAAATTCATGTAGGGGCCCATTCAGTTTTAGAGTTTTGTCGACTTAAAGATGGCACAGGGGCACCTGGGTGACTCAGTTGTTAAGTATCTGCCTTTGGCTCAGGTCAAGATCCCAGGGTCCTGGGATCAAGCCCCCGTCCCTACTGTCAGGCTCCCTGCTCAACGGGGAGTCGCTTCTCCCTCTGCCCCTCTCTCCACCCCCCATGCCCCATTCATGCTCTCTCTCTCAAATAAATAAATAAAATCTTAAAAAAAAAAAAAAAAAGATGCTACAGAAAATCAAGTAGGTGAATTCCTAACACAGGAGAGCTCACTCCCACAAGCACCCCTCCCCCTTGAGGTCTTGTGGCAGAGGACTGAAACCATAATAGAATCCAAACAGCAAAGACTGGCCGAGCATGGGAGGGCAATGGGATGATTCCACAAGGCCCCTCTGTCACTTTAAAATTACTGTCAATAAAGCTGAACTCACTGACAACGGAGATGAAATAACAGGTCTTGTTTAAATCATGAAAAAGAAGAAACCAGGTATTTTTCTGTCTTTTTTTCTAACCAAGAAGATAAGGCCTTTCAGGGACATTGGCTACAAGAGTCAACTAAAAAACAAGACAAAACCAAACGAAACCAAAAGAAAGTCTTCTTTTTTCCTTTCTCTCTCTTTTTGATACATAAACAATTTACTAATAGATAAAGCCTCAAGATTTAAATTTCCTCTTGGACACACCCATGGTGCGGCCTCAGCAGCCTATGATCTTAAGTGTTGGCCTCGGACACGAAGTCCCCAAAAGTGTTGCAGCCCTGTGTGAGCCCGAGTCTTTTTCCGTTGCTGCAGGTCTTCCCAGAGTTTGCTGTACAGACCATGAGCCAGGACCTGGCTGTATTTTTTTCCATGCTTAATATCCTTTAGTGTGTTCAAGAACCAGTCTGGAAGCTTATACTGGTATGGATTCTGCATAATGGCAATCACACGTTCCATCTCATCCTCCGTCAGCTCTCCTGCCTTCCTGGTGAGGTCGCTATCTGCTTTCCACAATACCACGTGAGCCTGTCTTCGCCCCACACCCTTCACTGCAGTGATGGCAAAGGCTCTTTTCTGCCCAGCCATCAAAACTGGTTTTGAGTTCTCACAAAATATGCTGAACTTCTCAGGGATCACTAGAATGTGGCCCTAGTGGTGACACTAATGGCAGATAATCCATCCTTCCTCTTTCCACAAATGTTTACTGGAAGGGTCCCTGCTAGGACAGCAGGATGCTGAGCTGGGCAGGTGACACAGAGATAAGTGACTGACAGTTTTACTGTATCCTCAGAAGAACCAGATGCTGGAAATGCACGATCAACCTTCACTCGGCCTTAACGAGTTATTTCTTCTCCCATCTCCAACCCAATGTAAGTATCACTTGTGGGCCCTGAAAGCTTTTCAGTGGAATTCCAGAGCACTGAGACAGTCCTGCTTATCCCAACCAAGCCTGACGTTACCCTTTGGGGGAATGCATTTTTATTACCAGCTAGGAGGTACTGGTTTCAATAAGACACTGCCCCACACTGTTACACAATCTATAAATAAAAAAAAAAACAGGCTGGACAATCCCTATTGAGAGGACAATATGAGTCAATTCCCAGACCTCATTAAGCTGATGATGAGATGACTCAGATTTCACAATTTTTCAGAATTGGAATTCTTATATTCCTCCTGGGAAGAGTGTCTCTGAGTTGAAGGGTAAACTCAGCATTCCTTTCTCCCATCCCATTAATTTCCCCATCACTTTGTCCCTCATGCTGAGAATGAGCCATCATCCCAAGTAAGTCAAGGTAAGTACCTATTGGGCAGAATGGTGATTAAGGTGCATTCCAGGTGAGTAAGTGGCATCTCAGGTAAATGAAAACAAATGCCTTCTATGGTTCAGTCCAGGCAGATGTGTTCCTTTCTAATCACAGTGGTGAATCCCTGGAGTTGAATCTACCTTCAAGTTAAATCAGTCTAAGCTAAAGCATAAGAAATGTCGTCAACTCCCTTATAGTAGCATGGGTGAGGGTAGTTTTAAATCCATTGTCTCTTAAAAAAAAAAAAATCCCTGATCACTGTATGCTGAAACCACAGTTTTGACCAACAAGGTTTGGAAGTGACTTGAAGATAGGCTATGTTTCACCAGAGGATCTCAAGGGGATAAAATTCTGGAAAGGGGATCATAGTGATTAAGGCCAGGTCTGTCATAATACAGTGCTGTGCTGAAACCCTATATTGGAAATGAGGGTACACCTGGTGCCAAGACCTAGGGCACCAAACCCTTGTTATTCTATTTTTTATTTTTTAAAATTTATTTTATTTCTTTAAAGATTTATTTATTTGAGGGGGTGGTGGTGGGGGAAAGGGAGACAGAGAATCTCAAGCAGACTCTCCACTGCTTACAGATCCCAACATGGGGCTTGATCTCACAACCCAGGGATCATGACCTGAGCCAAAATCACAGATCAAACAATCACCTGAGCCACTCAGGTGTCCCACCAAATCCGTGTTTTTGGTGTGTTGTTTGCTTAGTGGTTTCAAGGCTGGCTGGCAGGCAAGGGCAGTACTACG